TATATATATATATATATTTATTTATTTATTTATTTTATTTATTTATTTATTTATTTATTTTGGCATTTTTATCTATGAGGTGAGTTCCTAAAAAGTCTCTCAGAACAAAGGTATATATGAAGAATTCATTTGCAAAAACAGATTACTCCGTTTTTAACAATTCTCAGAAATCATGTGTTCCTCTTCAAGAACGCTTTGGGAACGTCTTCTGTGACCACGCTCTGAATCACATGTGAAATCAGTCCAATAGCTGGGCGAGACGTCATGGGCGGGTGACGTCATGACCAGGAAGCTATAAAAGCAGGTGTGGCGGAGCCGACGTCAGCTTTCTGTCATTCAGCAAAGCGCTCTGTGTGTGTCAGTCAGAACTCTGTGTTTGTGGGTCCTGTTTATTGTTGTCTGTCAAAAAAGTGCAACTATAAGCTCCACTATATCTAAAGCTCACGCTAAGACAAAGCATGCAAAGGGCGAGAGCAAGCCACATTATAGATTGTGTGTTCCTCCCTGCCCACGCTACATCACGGGTGGGGATACACACAGTCTGTGTGTGGTTTGCTTGGGAGCAGAGCACGCAGAGTCGGCTCTCGAGTGGGCCGGCTGCCTGCATTGCGAGCGTCTCCAACTGCGTACGCTTCGCTCCCGGAGGGCTCTCTTTGAGGAGGGAGCCTTCGCCAGCATTCCTCGCAGTGCTGGCCCCGCTTCCGTCGAGGCGGCTGCATTTGTGGGGGTCGCAATTGGATCTGGTGGAGGGAATGGAGACGGGCGCGTCCCTATCTCCTTCCTGACCCGCCAGATCCAGCGCCCGATCTCTGGGTTTGGAAGCCCGTTCTGCGGCTGCTTCCTCCCGGGGTGAGGGCTCGACGTTCCGCCTGTCTTCCTCCGAGGAGGTTGACGTGGAGGGCATCGAAGAGGTTTCGCCCCCTCAATCGCCCCAGTATGAGGAGCTAGTGGAGATGCTTACTCACGCCGTGGCCAAATTAAAGATCGATTGGCCCACCGAGCCACAGCAAAACAATGTCTTCCTCCAAGGAGGCTGACGTGGAGGGCGTCGAAGAGGTTTCGCCCCCCTCAATCGCCCCAGTATGAGGAGCTAGTGGAGGTGCTTACTCGCGCCGTGGCCAAATTAAAGATCGATTGGCCCGCCGAGAAGCAGGCCGAGCCGCAGCGAAGCAAGTTAGATGAACACTTCCTGCGCGCGAGGCCACCACCTCCATGCTGGAGCCTGCCATTTTTCCCCGACCTTCACACGGAGGTGTCGAGGTCGTGGGCCAAGCCTTTCTCGGCCCGTCTCTTCATCCCTGCCTCAGATTACTATGGGAATGTGGCGGGGGTGAGTGAGCGTGGCTATAGGGCGATGCCCCGGGTTGAACAGACGCTAGCTAGCTATTTGTCCCCAGACATGGCATCGTCCTTAAAGGCTCCGGCACTGCCCTCCAAACCGCTGCGTACGACATC